GGTGCATCCCTAATTTAGAGGGTACTACTACTGGCAGCCAGATGCTACTAAGGGAAAAAATGTGACCACTTCTGCAAAAGCAGACGTTTTAGGCAGTTTGCTGGTCTCAGCCATTCAGGTGTGTGTTGATAAAATGCCGCAATCTTCCCAGGAGTAGACATCTCAACAAAAGCTTTCCCCACATGCAGTGGTCAGACAAATTACAAACAAAAGAAAACAAATGAGCAAATACTAAACACCGCATATCACCACAAAGATGCCGTATCGCCTATCAAAACCTAGACTGAATACGTTTGAATCAAGTAAGAAGAGCTCACCCACCAAACCTTTTCCTCTTTTGGTCCTTTCTTCCCTCTTTTTGGACACACACAGGCATCTCCTGGCATCTCCTTATCCAGTGCAGCAGAGGCTGACCCATAAAAAAACCTAAATGAATATCATGATGTTTCCAGTTGAGATAAAATAACTTCAGTCAGCCTCACATACTGGCAAACCTTAAGCCTGGCCTCCCTGTAGCTTAGCAGGGCAGGAGCTGTTCTTGGCAGCCCTCACCATGTGACAGCGATTACATTCCAGCGCAGCGCTCTATTTGTTTCACCCTCGGTGTGTGTAATGGAAAGCAGTGATCAGCGAATGCGCTCCGAGCTGCGTATGTGCGTGTTCGGATTGCTTGTGTGAATGTCTGCTGCGTAGTTCGAAGCATTTTGAAGCTTCTCTGCAAAAGCGTCAGGGTCATCTTTTGATGGATGACCTTACTTAGGCCCTGGTTTGCTCTTACTTGAAACAGAAAACTCATTCCATTCATGCTGAGTGATTGTATGTGTGTATGTTTGGTATGGTTGTGTGTGTGTCCTCACGCCTGTTATGGACTGACAGCCTCTTCTGCAGGGGCCATGGAAAAACAGCTCCTCTCTGATTCAATCACCACAGCGAGTACAGCTGGAGGGGCAACAAGAGGCTAGGGGACATCATGGTCTGGTTCACCCAGGTTTTCTGACACAGGGTTGAACAAAGAGGCCTATCAGTTCTGAAACGTGCACTTACAAGCTTGATTTCACCTTTCTGTCCTTTTCTCCTTAAAGTCTTGAAGCTTTCCCCACATGCGCTTTCTGAAACCGCCATCGCTGACCTGACACCTAATCCCTTATGTGTCAGAGCCCATCTATGCTGAATTCAATTTGGATAATAGTGCCTTACAGTCCTTTTTTCAGTCAGTAATATGGAATCGGCGATGCTGTTGGTTCAGGTTGAACGATTATAGATAAGTATTTGCTTAAACTCCATTTAGCAGCATGAAATTAACTAACCTTGTGTCTTGCAGAATTTCATCTCTGGCGGTTTTCTATTTGATTGCAGCTAAAATCTTAAAGATTTTTGCTTTGATTTCACATAAACTGTCATCTGAATCAAGTTAGGTTTTTGCAAAGTCCTCTCTCATTTACAGATGTGAGCAGTAACACGTCTTTTTCACTCTTGCTTTCGCTCCCACTCATCATCTTTGATGTGACAGTGCTGGCAAATTGTGATGTGCAGGAATAATGATATTTGAGTGCTGGCTTCTGGTGTGTAATTGAAACACGAGGAAGCTTTCACATTGCCCCCACACTGCCAGCGCCAACTGTGCTACAAAAGCAGTACTTCCCTCAGATATCTCTTATGCTGCTGGCAGGTGGCGAACAGATAACTTCCTTCTGTCATGTGAACCTAGTTCACTTCAGCAAGCCTGGAAAATACTGTCATCTACAACTCTGTGCCTCTCACCTTGCACTGCTACCATGTGGCATTCTACATAAAAGACATCGCATGCATCTTTGATGAAAAGAAATAGAATAGTCCAGTGTTGCATCTCATTTTGCAGCAGTTACAGAATTTTCAGATTTACCATCAAAATCTTAAGTCATTTTTGACACAGTAAATCTTCTCTGATTTCAGACAAAAGTAGATCAAAAACGTAGCTTCTATCCTTGTTCCAACTTTTACTGACTCAAAAGACTGAAAAAGTGTTGCTATCAACTTTTTGTAACACATAAATTTAAAATATCCCCGTGCTTCATAGGTTGAAAGTAGG